AATTTTAATAATATTTTGAATGGGTTGATAAAATAGGAACAGATGGTTAAAGTTTGTCATTTCAGGAAAAATAATGAAATATTGCACAACTGAATCTGTTTCTCTTTCACACTCTTCCCTATCCCTTCCCCACTGCAGAGATATTCAGATGCATGAAAATTTAAAGCAAAACCATTGTAAAATGTTTTAGCCACTTTAGGTTTCCTCACCTGAAAAGACCTTAACTTTTTCAGTAATCTCTATGTTACTTTATTCCAGTGCTGTACCTTGAGAGGAGCCCTTCTACAGGATATTGTTTTGTGGGTATACAAGAGGTGGTGAGGAAGTAAGACTTGCTTGGATATCTCTCTGCCATGAAAACAGTCAGGCCTTTGTTTACTGACCAGAGCAGATTTATTCTTTGAGGAACTCAGTAAGGCAAGGATGATTTGGGTAACATGTCCCACCTACCAGATCCTTGGATTTTTATGAGTAGAAGCTCTGAATGCTGGCACTTCTGGTCAAGAAAGAGCAGATCATAACCATTATCATCTATCCTTTCTTGGATTTGCCTTTATTCCAGTTCCATGTCTCTGAAATTTTCCTATTATTCTGTTTGGACAGTGCATTGAATGAGATCAAATGTTGGGAGAGTGACATAAGTATTGATTTGGCACTGTTGCTAGAAACTCTTGGGAAAATGAGCATTGTGTATCATTTGCCTATTGCTTGCCAACTTCAGTAGCAAGAGCCTCCAGAATGCTCTTGGATAAACATCATCTTTGTGGCTACACATTGTTTTATGAGCTGAGTCATTAGCCTGGCTGGCTTCTGAAATGCTGCTGTCTGATTCTCCAGGCAGCAGAAAACAAGGAGTGAAGATATAAAGTGCAGCTCATCAAGCTTTGTGGATGGCCAATTTCACTTGCCAAAGGTGATGGGGAATTTATTCTTATGGAATCTGCTTATGGCAAAAGAACTACTGATAACTTAAATTTCATTTCAGAGAGAAAGATGATGCTATCCGTATTTCTTGTATATTATTTACATAATCTGTTTGATAAGACTATGTGTTAATATTCACCAGTCTGACAGAATTTCTTGTTGAAAGCTTGATTCTTTTACTCATTGAGTTGCAGTTTATCACCTAAGCAAGCCCAAAAGTAACAGTGATGTGTAAGTTGAACCGCAGACTTCTTTATCTTTTATTTTATTTTTTTCTTTATCTTTTAGATAAATTGCTGTACCATGTTTATCTTTTATATAGCTACTAGTAAGACATCTCAAGAAACCCAAAATTAAAACCAGTGTCCCATCAAGGAAATTTACTCTAACTCAGATTTCTGAATTTAGATATTGCTAATTTGCTGAGGTAAATATCTCAGTTCTCTTCCAAACGATTTTTTTTTTTTTCGGGACTGAGGATTGAACTCACAACCCTGCGCTTGCCAGGGAAGCACTTATTCCACTGAGCCACCTCCCCGGCCCCTTCCAAGCGAGTTTATTAAGGTCTCAGTAAACATGTTGGCAGATCAAAATACATAACCAAAGAGTATATATTAAATTCTTATTAGTTGGTGGGCACCAAGTTAGCCTTCTCTGTCTGAAGTAAAAATAAAAAACAATTCTTCCACTGAAGAAGGAACATGTTTGTCTATATGCAAGGTGGACATACTCCATTTCTTGGAGAAAGGTGGGAAGAGAAAGTGCTTCATGAAAGACCTTGATGGGAGAGAAGAATGCTCTTTCACTGAGGGCAGCTGGCGAAGTTTTCCTGGCAAAAGTGGCTCTGAGACAACCCTTGGAGGGCGAGGACCATCTGTAAGTTCCAAAGAAGGAGAGGACATGGGCTGAGAGATACTGTTGGCAAAGGCCCAGGAAGTGCAGGGAATAGGTACATGCTTGCATTTGGAGTTAAAATGGCCTTGGGGAATTCTGGGAGATGATAAGCTCAGAAACCAGAGTTTCAGGGGCTGAGAGCCAAATAAGTTGCACTGTAATAAAAAAACTTAGAGTAAATGATTCCTTTTTGAAGTTAGATGGAGACAGCAGGAAAAGTAATGGAGGCCTGAGACTACTGACAAGACAGGTGCCTCTGCAGCAGCAGAGGGAATCCATGGAGCAGGGCATAATAATGGAAGACAGGAGGCAATAATGGCTCAGCAGGCTTCTGGGGATCTTAGGAGAAAGCACGCAGTGAAACTGGATGGTGGCAAGAACACAAGGAAGAGTAAGCGGACAGGAAGGGGTCAGTCTGATGAGGGTCCTGTAATCCACTGAGGGCCTGAGCAAGGGAAAGCTCAGACCAGGTGCTATGAGAATAGAGCAAGTGTACAGTCCTGCTGAAGGTCAATTCTCCACTATGTGTGTTATGGTCTTTTGTTTCATCTCAAGAAAACAGTTCAAATTTAGTACAGACAGCAAGAGTGTAAGAGTCAAGGACTTATCAAATGCCCTTCTTAGCTTGGCCCTCCTTTTTTTTTTTTTTTCACTTACCAGTTGGGATGATTGCCATCCGATTCTGAAGCTGAGGTGTGCAATCGTGGTGTAGACAATGTTTTTGGGAGGAGGTTTGGAGAAACTGTCACTTATGATGAATTTATATTAGAAGCAAGACAGCAAACTTTGTTTCTTTACAATGACATTTCTTTATTTTTTGTAAAATTTTCTTTTTATAGTTTAAAAAATTTTTATTAGTACATGTTTACAGTACATAATGACAACATTGCATGGAACTGATACATGTACATAACATATCTCAGTTTCTCCCCCCACTCCTTTTCATTTTGCTAGCATCAGATTAATTTATTTATCTTATAAATACTTTTGGGGCTGGGGAGATGGCTCAGTAGAATAAGTGCTTCCCTGGCAAGAGCAAGGGACTGAGTTCAATCCCTGGTTCCGACAAAACAAAAAATTAATTAATTAAAATAAAAATTTTGTTAAATACTTTTAAACTAATTGCCACATAAACAGATTAACAGCCAGAAAATAGGTCAAAACATATAAAACACATAAGATAACTGTACTAAATCAAGGTGCACTTTAAGATACATAATTGTAATATATGCTGTTACAATAACTTTTATCCTCTCTTTTTATTATGTCTTTTATTTTGTCATTTATATATTGAGTTTCTCAGATAAGAGAATCTACATAATATTTAACCTGGTATGTCTGATCTACATCACTTAAAATTATGGTCTTTTGAATAGGACATACACAAACAGATATAAATTCCCTGTTCCAGTAACTCATATGAACATGAGACTAAGTGGAGTCAAGACAGCAAATTTTGGGAAGACTAGCCTTAGGCTCAGTCACTGTTATAATAACCATTAGATAAGGCAGTGGAAGTAGAGGATAAAATAAGAGATTTCTGGTTGTTCAGAAGGCCTGTGTAGCTTGGCCCTACTTGCTGCACAGAGCTTCCAGGAGAGTTTTGTGGAAATGTAGCTTCATCCTGTAGTATTCTTTCAGGGTGGCCATTGGGTACAGGGTGGATCTTCCTGGAAGAGTTAGCTACATAAATAATGACATTTTGTTTGTTAAGTTCTTGGAACTCCTTACTCTTTTTTCCTGCAAAAAAAAAAAATGTATTTGGGTTATTGAAAAACTAATTATTCACAGAACAGATATCTCATGGGCAAGACTGGGAAGTCTTTATTGGTGTCCAGAGATCAAGAAGTGGTACCAGTAATCCAGGTGAGCATTCTCAGGCATGAGAGAAATTACAAAGAACACTCAGAAGGAGGAATCAATAAGATCTGATGATTACCAGGATACTCATGAAAGATGACTTTAACCTGGAGCTTGCCTACAAACTAGTAAGTTGACAGCTTTGCTTTGCTTTGCCTTCCTTCCTTCCTTCCTTCCTTCCTTCCTTCCTTCCTTCCTTCCTTCCTTCCTTCCTTCTTCTTCCTTCCTTTCTTTTTTTAAGGGGACAGATAAAAACACAACATAAATGGAATCCTAAGGAGGAAAGGTTTGTAGCATTAGGGCAGGTTTTCTGGAAGTAAGGTGCTGAGCTGGGCTTTGAAGAGAGGGGGTGTCCAACAGTGACAGTGAAGGATGATACCAGAGTTTTGACTTGAAGGTGGAGGTGACAGAGATGGATGAATCTGCTAGGGTTAGAGCTGGGAACAACATCATATGGTCTAGATGTAGGTGGAAAGTAGTTTTGTAATTGCCAATTTTTAGTGAGTGGTTGACTGGGTAGTTGCAAGATGACTCTTGTAGAATCAAAAAGAATGTATTCTTAGGAAGCACAAGGAGGAAAGTTTTTGAGAGGGAGCCCAAACTTAGGAGAGGCAGGAAGGCAAAGATCCAGGAGGAGCAGAGATGGTGCCCTGCAGGGGAACCCTCAGAGCCCACTGCAGAATGTTTCTCTAACAGGAATGTTGCTGTGATTGTTCAAGTCCTAGAGATTAACCACACTGGCATTCTAACAAGAAACCAGGAGGTGCCAGTGTCCTCGGCCTAGATGACATCATGGGGATGAAGGAACAAGCGCAATCCACTAGGTTCCTAAATGGTAACCCTGCTCTGAGGGTGGCAAGGGTTAGGGTATCTTCCAGAGTATGTGGCCATGACAGCACTGTGGTGGACACCAGAATGAGTTGGAAAACAATGTTGTCCCGTCATTCTGGATTGCCCCTTTCTGACCAGGGCCAGTGACTATCTCGGCGCGCCAGGCAGGAGGAATCAAGCCAGAGGATCTCTGGCCTTCCACCTGCCGGACTTCAGCACCTCCTGCGCTGGGTGGACATTTCGGCCTCCGGCCCTGGCCAGGCAGTTCTTCCTTCGGCGGATTTTCCTCGGTCGGCGCGGAGACCGCGCGTGGATTCGCGCGCGGGCTCGGGGTGAGGGGCGCGAGCCCGGGCAGCGCCGGCCCCCGCGCGCCAGGAAGCGGCGCATGCGCGGGCGTCCTGCGAGCCAGCTGAGGCGAGCCGAGCCGCGGCAGCGGCTGGAGCCAGGGCGGCTGGAGCCCAGCGTCTGAGCTGTGCGGGGCCGAGCAGCGGCGCGGGAGCGGTGGCGGCGGACAGGTGGAGAGCCCTCGCCCGCTCCGCCAGGGGCGCCGGGGTCGTTCGCGAAGCCTCGAGGTCCAGACGTGGCGGCGACGGTGGCCTCCCGGACGGCCTGTGAAGGATGCGCCGCCCACTGCCCCGCGCCGCCTGACCGCCCCCGCCTCGTCTCGCGGTGCGCCACAGCTGGGCCCGTGGCCGTGCCCGCCGCGCTGTCGCCCAGCCGCCGCGCTTGCGGGGTCGCGTCCGGCCCGGCCATGTGGACCCCCACGGAGGAGGAGAAATACGGTGTAGGTAGGTGAGGCCCCGGCCTGGCAGCGTCAGGGGTTGGGGTGTGGGGGGACGCGCCAGGACTCCCGGCTCCTGCTAGATTCATATCCTGTCGCGTCCGCCGCGGCCAGAAGGCTGTGCGGCCTCCGCGCTGGGCGAACGCGGAGCGGTGCGGGTGCTGGCGGGTGCGGGCGGCTGCGGGGGCGCGGTAGGCGCGGGTCCCCAGCGCGGGAGGGCGGCAGGGGGCGCTGGCTGCGCGGCCTCGGCAGGTGCGGCCCGCGGCAGGGCAGGGGCGGGCCCCGCTCCGCAGTTGCGCGAGGTTCTGTTGGGTACCAAGCAGTTTACCCAGGAACCTTAATGCTGAGAATCTGCTTTTTCTGCTCGAAAACCTCGATTTTAATGAGTTTCCACCCCAATTAATGAGCCCGGTAGCTGTTTATTTTCAGGCTGGAATCTTTAAAAAATAATAAAAACGTTGACATTTTCTTAGTTCAAAATTTACAGTCAAATGTTTGATTTATTTTGTTTTATCCTCAGTATTACAAATAGTTGTCCTTCAATGGGAAGTGCTTTGGGCATGTATCGATGTTTAGTTATATACACATACTTTGCTTTAAAAAAATCTGTTTTCAGGTGGGAACGTTATTTCTCTTAGAGACTTCTTTTTAAATGCTGCATGAAACTCCAGAGTAGAATAATTCTTTTAACATTGTATTTTCTTAAAAAAAGAGTATTTAGTAATTTAAAGTAATTTACAGTGTTAGCGTTTCTTGGTGGTTACATAGCAGATTTCAGTCACATTGCATTATTGTAAATTATTGTGGGTAGCTAGAAACATTTAAAATGTTGAATGTACAGGTTTTTTTTTAAAAGTATGTAATGGAAAATTCTGGATGGGAAAGCTACCTAGACATAGATTTTTATTTCCATTTTTATTGCAACTGAATCAAGGTTTAGTTTAGAATTGATTATAAAGTAACTTTTGAACTACAGTGGTGACAGATGGTTTGGAATAAGGCCATTTCCATGTAAAAATGTAATTTATTTAAATTTAAGGACCTGCAGAGATGTCTTCCGTTGTTAGAAAATCTTGTTTTGAAAGGTAACTTTTGGAAGCTTTCAGATAGCTATGTTAGAACGGAAGTGACAAAAGGAGCCCTACTCTTAGAGCCTGTGTTGAAAAGGAATTGGGAAAATAATGCCAAAATTCACTTTCTAGGGGTATTTTTTATCAAAAAGAATTTGAGCATTCCCTGAATACTAAGTTTATACTGCTATGACATGCAAAGTTGTCATTCTGTCAGTCTTCTCCAATACTCTCAGAACTGCTAAACTGGAATAATTAGTGATCAGCTGTCCAGTCGTGCCTGATTAATTGCTTCCTTTCTGGGGAAGAACTCTCAAGTAGAGGAAATTGTGATGTTCAGGGTCCTGTCTTCTTACTGGTCCTGTTGGGCAAGTTATTTAACATCATTTCTTTCACAGTAAATTGGAGGTAATGTTTACTTATGTTACAGGGTTGTGAAAATCAAATCAGCATTTATCAAATATTTGATAAATGCTAGGTATGTTTTGAAGTGAGGGTATACAAGACAATCAAGACTATGTGAATCTCAAAGCACTAGGATTTTTGGTGTGTGATTTATTAAAAAAAAAAAGGAATGAAATTCTTGTATTATAGGACTTGTGTGCTCAGCTTTAGAAAAATTGTTTTTCCCTATGCATAGTATTGGGCATAGGGCCGAACTTAAATCCCTGATAAATGAGAGAAAATTATTCTGAAGACATTTCCTTAGCAGCTGTGGCTTGGTATAATTTAGATGCCTTTTCTGTTAAATAAGGCAAGTCACTCTCTTAGTTCTGTCACAGCTTTGTTCCACTATCCCTTCCTTATTTATGTCTAAAGTTTTTGTATTGTTTAAAACTTAGAACATGTTTTTATTCCCTTTAAGCATGTTAGGAATATAATTCTACTCTTCTCCCCCCATAAAATCCAATTCCATCTATAAAGTAGCTTCAGTATAATATTTATAATGAGAAAACTTGTCAATTAAAATGGTAATTTAGTCGCACTGTTTAATTACTGTGAGGGATAGCTTGGAAATTTAACCATTATCATTATTCCTCTGAGAAAATGTTTTGAGTTCAGCTTTGATTTTTTATGACTAACTTGGAACACAGATTATTATTTCTCCTTGCCAACCTATAATCCTATAGCAGGAAGGGAACACTTACATTCACTTTGCATCAATTTGGAGAAATGTTGAGAGGGCCTCCATTTGCCTTGATGTGGTGAAGGAAGGAGTCCCTGTTGCAGCAGTAGGAGAGTTTTTTTCTCTCTCTATTGCAGCTGTTCAGCTATATTTGACATTGGTAAGAGTTCTCAGATCCCATAATAATCTTACTGCTTTTTAATTATTCTTGTAGGAATCCTGTACAAATTACAACATTCCAAAAAAAAATTACAACATTTCTGAATTACTTTGTTTGTTCATTTAGGATGAAGTGATACCTAAGCTTCCCTTTCCATTGTGTGGTTTCCATTTTGTGATCAACTTACTGGGTCAGTAGGGCACTGCCTTTTCCTGAGGTTCACTGATGAGCCATTTTGTGCACTGGTGGTTGTGTAGATTCCCAGAATAGTCCTGATATTATTTACTAAGTGGATCAAAAAAGTGGATTTTAGAGGCTAGTAAATCAATCCTTTCTTGTCCTTCAACAATTGTATATTCTCCTTAATGTTTTTCTTGGCAGTGGGCGCTGTTTTGTAATGTTCTTGACTGTCTTGGTCTCATATAGTATTATAAAGGGCATTTCTATACTGAACTCATTACCCTATGTTTTGAATCTTCATGTTGAAAGAAGGAGACCGTTTAGAGAATCTCTGCTTTCCTCTAGTAGCCATGAATGTTTGATAAGTTCTGTATCCTTTATTTTTTTTCTCCAAGAAGTGTTTTGCCCTAAAGTGCATTAGGTGAAAAAAATTCCAGTTATTATTTTGCATACCAAAACTACCAGAGAAACAAAAAACCAAGAACAGCAATGGCAATCTATATCCAATGCTGAATACATAAATAACAAAGCTAGAATACACCTAAATACATAAATAACAAAGCTTTCAGTGTGTGTGAATTAGTTTGACATCATAAATATGCAAGCTACTTTAGAAGGTTGTCTTGTTTATTCCATTGCTGTTGTGATGTAAATTTACTATTTCAGGCCCTTGATTTATCGCTTATTTTTTGTTAATCCCCATTTAGAAGCGCATGAAAGATTTCTCTCATTCTCATTCTCTCTTTCTCTTTCTCTCTTTCTCTCGTATTTGATACAGGGCTTCACTATGCAGCTCTGACTCATAGTGATCCTCCTGTTTTCAGCCTCCCCAGTGCCCTTAGTGGCTAGCTCAGTGTGCCCCGGGGGGGGGCAGTATGGTATGTCCTCATTTACTTTCTTATCCAAAATACCCTTACACTGCTGGACAGAGTGGTATATGTCTATAAACCCAGTGCTTGGTAGGCTGCTGCAGGAAGATTGCATGAGTTCCAGGCCATCCTGGGCTACATAGTGAGTTCAAGGCCAGCTTGAACTATGTAGTAAAAATAAAACAAAACAAACAGAACACTTAACTTTTTAATTTTTTTTTCAAAAATACTCCCTTTTTTTTGAGATAGGGTATCGCTATGCAGTTCAAGCTGACTGTGTGCTCACTTTTGTAGCTCCTAGGCTGCTGTTGAATTCATAGCAATCCTCCTGTTTCAACCTCCCAAGTGCTGAGATTACGGGGGCATGCACTATCATGCCAGGTTCTGGCGCTGGCACAGTGTGCTTGGGGTTCTAGGGCTGGCACTGCATGTGGGCCTGGAGATCAAACTTGGGAGCTTTTGCTTGACAGGTAGGTGCTTATGCCTCTGAGCTATCTTCCCAGCCCCATTTATTTACAATTTGTGATTGTTGTATATCCTATATTAAATTTTTAAAACTATTTTAGAAAGTACAAAATAATATTAAAACAAAAAATTACAAATTAGACAAAATAATGTGTTTTATTAGACAAACTAATATGAACTTCACAGTATTTGTTATATTACATAGTGTTGTCTTCAGATTAGCTGTTCATATTACCAGATATATGCATGCAAAATTGGAAGAAGAAAATTATAGAAGAAAAAGATTATAAGAAATTAAGAAGACAGAAAAGGGAAAATAATTTTTTTAACGTATCAGTTATTTAATTGGGTTCTTAGTACGAAATTTAGAACATTAATTAATTTATTTATTTTTCACTTTTTAATATTTTCTTTATTAACTAGGATTTAGAACATTAATTTATGAGGATAAATTCCATTTGTCAGAGCAAAAACAAATCTCAGGTAGCCCCAGAGCTGAGGAACAGCTTTTTCTACTTTTTTAATTAAAAAAATTTTTTTTTTTTAAGAACCGGGGATTGAACTCAGGCCTTTGCACTTGCCAGGGAAGCATTTATTCTACGGAGCCATCTCACTGACCACTTAATTTTTTTAAATAGACAATATTAATTTTATTTGCATTTATTTTATGCTTAATTTATTCCTGTGCCATAAATTTTTGTTTCTTCAGTTTCTTCTGGGATATCTTTTTCTTCTGTGCAACTTCTTCCTCTGGTTTAGGAACAGTTTGTTCCTTTTCAGTAAGGATCATCTCAGTATGGCAGGGGGAGCTCGTGTATAGATTAATTCGGCCATGAGCTCTATTCAGTACAGAGGTACATCTTGAGTGCTGTGTTCATCTGGATATGTTCAATAACCAGAGAACCTACATCTAAACCCTTAAGCTCAGCATTACTCTCTGTATTTTTAAGCATGTGTAGCAAAATTCAGCACTCTTTTTGGGCCACCGACCCTGTGTTCAGCCCCACTCTTTGGTCTGGGCACACCTACCAGCTCTACCATTCTAACACCGGAATGGCACACATTCACATTGCTTTTTTAATGCAACATCCTTCAGATACTTAATGGCTTTTTTTTTTTGGTGGAACCAGGGATTGA